GAGCAGAGGGGCCTGGGAGCCGGGACTCCTGGGTTCTCTCCCTGGCTCTGGGAGGGGAGTGGGGTCTGGTGGTTAGAGCAGGGGGGCTGGGTGCCAGGACTCCTGGGTGTTCTCCCCGGCTCTCGGAGGGTAGCGGGGTCTGGTGGTCAGAGCAGAGGGGCCTGGGAGCCGGGACTCCTGGGTTCTCTCCCTGGCTCTGGGAGGGGAGTGGGGTCTGGTGGTTAGAGCAGGGGGGCTGGGTGCCAGGACTCCTGGGTTCTCTCCCCGGCTCTGGGAGGGGAGTAGGGGTCTGGTGGTTAGAGCAGGGAGGGCTGGGCGCCAGGACTCCTGGGTTCTCTCCCCGGCTCAGGGAGTGTAGCGGGGTCTGGTGGTTAGAGCAGGGGGGGCTGGGAGCCAGGACTCCTGGGTTCTCGAGCATGCTGCTGGCTGTGGTGGGGGGGCTGTCTAACACCCCCCCACACCCCCCACGCTCTCCACCAGTACCTGCTGGATTGCGACCAGCTCCCAGGCCTGCCCGAGGTCTCCTTCGTGCTGGGCGGGAAGCCCTTCAACCTGACGGGGGACCAGTACATGCTGAAGGTGAGGCCCCCCCGGGGGCGATGCTGGGACAGGCTGGGCCCATGGTGGGCTGGGGGCAGCTGCTGGGATTGTCTAGCCTGAGGGGTGGAGAGGGGGGCCAGGGGGTGTCATGCTGGAGGGCGCTGGGCCCAAGGGGGACAGAGGGCAGTTTGAGGGGCCGCTGGGCCCAATGGGGGGAGGGGGCAGTGCTGGGGGGGGTCAGTGCTGGGGGGGCACTGGGCCCATGGGTGGCGTGCAATGGGCCCATTCGGTGGAAAGGGGGGCAGTGCTGGGGGGGTGCTGGGCCTGGGGCGGAGAGGGGCGTGGGATGGGCCCATTGGGGGTAAGGGGGGCCAGGGGATGACACTGGGCTCACGGGGTGAGGGGGCATGGGCCCATGGGGGGCAAGGAGTCAGTGCTGGGGGGCGCTGGGCCTGCGGGGAGGGAGACGTGGGATGGGCTGGGCCCATGGGGGGGAGGGGGTCAGTGCTGGGGGGCGCTGGGCCTGCGGGGAGGGAGACGTGGGATGGGCTGGGCCCATGGGGGGGAGGGGGTCAGTGCTGGGG